GGCTGGCAGGAAAGTTGACATTTTAAACCTTAATAAAAAAATCGATACAGGGCTTTAGAATATCGATACAGTATCAGGAAATGAAATATCGTGATATTTCAGTGTATCGATGTTTTCTTACACCCCTACCGCTGGGAGGCATCATTTCTTTTAACTGAGGAGAATGTTGGATTCTAGCTGTTCCTCAGTCCTAGGTCTCCTTTCTTGTGAGAAGTGTGCCAGTTCTGCACCCAGACTCTTCTGCCATCCTTGTCTTGCTGATTAACTAACTTTAAAGTGTTCCTTAGTCTTTTCAGATATGCCCAGAACAGAATCAGGCCCAAATATCAATCAGTCAATCAAAGGGACAGTATCATGTAAAATGAACTTTTTTGTGTTTTATATCATGTTATAATGTTATCCTCTCATCAAAAACATGCCCAGAGTCTTACTTTGACTCATTCATGCATGTTTGAGAAATCCTGTAGTGTCCAGAGGCAGCAGGCAGGGGAGCAAAAACCAGTGTTTGGGACTAGAACCGCCTTTAGGATCAGCTCCTCCTCTGGGCTGTGTCTCCAAGCTGAGCTTCCTCATCACAGAGCACAGACCCACCCGGCCCAGTGCTGAAATGGGCGGGACAGAAGTGGAAGGAGGTTTTTAAAGAGACAGAGGCCGATTTCATGGTGTTTAGAAACAGATATGATGAGAAGTCCAAGTTTATTTTTTTTATTTAAACATATAAACAACATTTTATCAACAACTGAAGGTGACATAGATACTTTATTACGGTATAGAATTTAAATATATGCCTGAGAAACACATTATATTGCCCCTTTAAAAATATCAGTCCTGCTGCTAGCTGTTAGCAGATTAGYGGCACCACCCCGACCACTGCGCTAATGTAATCAAAGGCTCTTTTTAGCACTTTTATTGTTGCCTCTGTCCTTGTCTTCTTACAGATGTGTTGCTGTTATCAAAGTCAAATATTACCTTATATTGTTTTGTTTTTTTCTCTAATGTCCAAATTTTTCAGAATTGGAGTTGTACCTGTGCCTGTTTGTGTATGAGCTCATGTTTGCCTGAAGGAAGTGTGTGTGTTTTTCTAACAAGTGTGTGTGTATGCGTGGTTTGAGTTGAGCGTACAAACAGTGGCATACAGTTGGATCATTGTGAAACCTTTCAAGAAATGTATTTATAGCAACTGAAAAGACTTTACCGTTGTTGTAAACACAGCATATTATTCATGTCGATATAATGTCCCGTAACCATTCAGTCGTCTGTTTCTACCTGATGAAGGTGCAGAGGGAGGAACTGGCTCTGAGATGCACCTTAAAGGCACAGTGTGTAGGATTTTGTCAATTCTTTTAGCCGAAATTGAAATAATCACTAATGACAATAAAGAAACATGTCTAATCATTGCAGACAAAGACCTTGTTTTATTATTTTTACCTTATAAAAAGCTGTTTATATCTCCATGGTCACGGGTCGCCACAACAGGCATCTTGCACCGCCATCTTGTCTACGAAGGCTCATGAAGGACAAACTGCGGT